TCTCTTCCCCCGGTTGTCTCTTCTTTCCTCCCACCCCTCACAAGACAGGGAGAAAGGCTACCCAAGAAGAGACCAGGTGGTCAGTTAGTGTATGTTGGAGCAGGGACATAACAACCCAAAGGGCCTGGTAATCAGGGGTAAGAAAGATAGCTGCTACGTGAGAGCTGATACCTGCACTGAGCCCTTTAAATTTCTGTTTTCTGTATGGAAAATCCTCCTTAGCTAAGATTTTAGATTTCCTGCTCCTGTCCTCCAGGCAGTGGAGTTCCCCAGCTTGTGGCTGAGTTAAGACGAGGAAAGGATTTGTTTTGAGGAATCATATGTGGTTGCTGCTTCTTGTTATTATAGTAGGGAGTGATACAGTGGCCTGCCTCTTCTGCCTGGCTTTTAATCTCAAAAGCAAAGAGGCAGGAGAATGAAATAATATTCCTTTCAGAGAAGTAAACATATTCTTTAGGGCAAGGAGCAGCTGCCACATTCACATTTCACTCCAGCTGGGGTCAGGGTCAGGGAGGTGCCAGGCTGCTGTAAACCTGCAGTTCAGTGCAGGGAAAGACCAAGTATGAGGGCCCAAGCTGCAGCCCCGATGCAACAGGTGTTAGAGGACCCAGCCAAGGCTTTTCCCGGCCCTTCCTTGCTCAGCTCTGCCTTGCACATCAGCTATTTTCCCAGGAGCCTGATTCAGGGTTACAGAGCTGCTGGCATCAGTGCTGGCCCTGAGCACAGCAGCTGTGAGCTGGAAGGCTGCAGAGCTGCTGAAGTAGACCCATAAGCAGGGCATTTACAGGAATAGACAGATCAGAGCCTGAGGCTGGGCCAGGGGGAAATTTAAAGGATGACTTAAGATTTTCTGTGAAGGACTGGGAACAATTTCTGTGATTTATTTTTGTTTTCAAAAAGCCTGCTAGTTGGCAACCAAACTTGATTTTAACACTCTCTCACATCTTATTTTGTGATTGATTGTGAAGAGACATCAGGAATTAAGACCATCTGTACATGAAGTCAACATTACAGATTTCATAACATCAGAAAAATGGTTATGAGCATGATACAGCTCTTGCAGTTTTTGTTTTTGGGAGTGACATACAGTAAAGGGGACAGCATGCTATTGATTTTAGCTCAGTGAAACTGTTGTCGAAGTGTCACTTCACAAGCTGCAAGACAGAAAGCCTTCCTCTATGACTTTTTTTACATTGTACTTTCTTCAGTCCAGCCTCTGGCATTGTCATGTGCCGTTTGTAATGCCTATGGGGACAGTACCCTGTTCTTCAAGCCTGTGGCATCTTTGCTTTCCCCATAGTGTCACGTTTTGCTCTCCAGTCACCCAGCTGGAATCACTGAGAAGGAAAGTGAAGAACAGAGGAGGCTATTTCACAACTCCAGTTTTAGTGCAAGTTGGCTGAGACCTTTCACTATCACAAATATTCATGAGGAAGAACTGCTGAGTAGCAGACCAAAAAAATTAATGACAGTCAGGCTATCTTTGGATGAGAAAAAATTCTGAACCTCTCCTCAACTTTCTGAATTACATTTGAACTTTTTGAATCATGGTTGAACATGGTAACATTCTGTGCATTTTTAAGCATGCTTTCCCAGAGTAGAATATATGTTTCAGTTTGCCTTTAGGATATGTCCATTCGCATTAAAGTAACTGACGGAGTTTCACAGAAGGCCAGGTTCCTGGGTATTTTCAGTCCAATGCACAAAAGAATACAAATAAAACCCTCTGCTTTGACCAGTGCTTTTCTGATGCATACCCCTAATGCTGCAGATGCTAGGTGTGCTACACAGGGTGGAGGCTGCGGTGGAACTAATCTGAGGCAAATACTTATGTGTCAAACAGAACTCATTAACTTCCACTGAGGAAGACTTTGATAAACTCCAACAGCTGGAGTAACAGAAGTTACATGAGCAGAAGAAAACCAATACAGATTTAAATCCTTAAAAAGTCCAAATGAATAGCAAGAGCTCCCTGAGTCCCAGTTTTAGAGCTAGGCTATTAGTGGTGCTTGGTCCACTGAAAAAGCAAGACAACCCTTCTTAGTGGCTGTATTGCCAAAGAGATACACTGTAAAAGTACTACATGTACTCCTTTTGTTGGGATATCAGATACTGGAAAGAATCAAAATCACAGAATCAGAGTTACAGAATAGTTGAGGTTGGAAGGGAATTCTGGAGATCATCTAGTCCAACCTTCCTGCTCAAGCAGGGTCACCTACAGCACATGGCATAGGATCATGTCCAGACAGCTTCTGAATATCTCCAGCAAAGGCGACTCCACTACCTCTCTGGGCAACCTGGTCCAGTGCTCTGTCACCCTCACAGGAAAGAAGTTTTTCCTCAGGTTCAGATGGAACTGCCTGTGGTTCAGTTTCTGCCCATTGCCTCTCGTCCTATCGCTGGGCACCGCAGAGGAGATTCTGGCCTCATCCTCTTGACACCCTTCAGATATGTATATACATTGATGAGATCACCTCTCGGTCTTCTCTTCTCCAGGCTGAACAGGCCCAGCTCTCTCAGCCTTCCCTCACAGGAGAGATGCTCCAGTCCCAGGAGAGATGCTCCAGTCCCCTCATCATCTTTGTAGCCCTCCACTGGACTCTCTCCAGCAGTGCCGTGTCTCTCTCATACGGGGTAGCCCA